CCTTGACTCATTTCCCCTCTCTTCCCAATAACTTGCTAATCAGCTGTATTAAATAACTATAAGATCGGTGTTCAGGACCCCTTATGCACTTTTCTTCTTGTCGGTTTCCTATAACCTCTCTTTATCCTCAACACTTTAAAATATGTCACTTTTCTAGGGAATGGCTTTTGAAATAGTGTGTGTGTGTGTGTGTGTGTGTGTGTGTGTGTGTGCGCGCACGCACGCACGAGCGCACGCGTGTTTAAAACACTATGACTATTTAAAGTATTTCAGTGGCCGAAACTGGTTTGGCTCAGTGGATAGAGCATTGGTCTGCGGACTGAAAGGTCCCAGGTTCGATTCTGGTCAAGGGCATGTACATTGGTTGTGGGCACATCCCTGGTAGGAGGTGTGCACGAGGCAGCTGGTCGATGTTTCTAGCTCTTTATCCCTCTCCTTTCCTCTCTGTAAAAAATCAATAAAATATATATATTTAAAAAAATAAAGTATTTCAGTGGGTGAAAAAGCTTCCTACTTAGTTTGCGAAGTTGCTCACACCTCTGTACCACCCACCATGATCTCTATGAAGTCTTGCAGGAGAATTTCTCTTAAATCTTTTCTTTAATTTTTATTTTATTTTATTGTTGACAATATTACAAATGCATCCCATTTTCTCACATTTTGTCTCCCTCCTTCCAACCCCCACCCCACCCCAGGCCTTCCCCATGCTATTGTCTGTGTCCATAGGTAATGCATATATTCATATATGTTCTTTCATTTATCTCTTCTTATTCCCTTCCCCCATCTTCACCCTTCAGATCTGTTATTCCTCTTAGATCTTAATACCCAGTAATACTGTACTTCTCTTGAGTTACTAAAAGTTTTGACCTTACAGTAATCATGATTTCTAAGACTGGGGGCATAACCATATTTGTTTTGCTCCTTGTAAGTTTAGCATCAAATTTATTGTCAACTTCTAATAATTTACAAATGTATATAACATACTAGAGGCCCGGTACTTGAAATTCTTGTGCAGGTAGGGTCCCTAGGCCTGGCTTGTGATCAGGGCCATCTTCCCCAGCTGCCTGCAGCTGGCTCCTCCCCATGCCGCCACCCACACCCAGTTCCCCATTTGCCATCAAGTGATCGGTGCTTGACTGCTCAGGGGAAAGGACCAAGAGATGATCAGTGCACCTCATAGTGACTGGTCCAGCAGTCATTCTGGTTGTTTTGCCTTTGCTGTTATGGTCAATTTGCATACTACCCTGTCATCATATAGGATAGAGGCCTGATGCTCTGGTGGGGGTCAGCTGGCCTACCCTGAAGGGAGTCCTGGGTCAGGGTGGAAGGAGCCCATGGGGGGGGGCGGTATAAGGCTGGCCTGGGTGAGGGGCCTGGGGCAGTTTGCAGGTCAGCCATGCCCCTAGCTACATCTGGTCTAATTAGCATATTACCCTTTTGTTAGTATAGATATTCTTAAGTGCTTATCTTTCCCTATATATAGTATTCTTACCACACATACTCTACCTTCACTTGGAATTTGTCAACTACCTGTTTTTCTTTTTGTATTATATACATATATATTTTAAACTGTCTCAATCCTTTGTGGGATAATTCAGGGAAGAAAAGAAAGGAGTCAAGAAGGCATGCAGAAACGACAGAAGACAGGAAGAAGGGAGGGAGGGAGGAAGGAAAAAAGGGAAGAAGGGAAAAGAAAAGGAAAGAAGAAACTTAAAATGTATGTGTGTAATTGTATGTGTGTGTATGTATATATATGAAAGTGAGAGCGGGGGGGGGGAGAGAGAGAGAGAGAGAGAGAGAGAGAGAGAGAGAGAGAGAGAGAGAGAGAGAGAGAGGAAGAGTCGGTATATTGGTGTGCTTGTAGCTTACATTTAATAGAATAATGAAAGCATCTGCATGGGAAATGTGCATGGCATATGGCATGCACTGGTAACTCATAATATGGCTGTGACAGTTGGAAGCTATGATGGTTTGGGCTCATGCATCTATTCAGTGCCACAGACTCCTCTGAGCTGGGTCTTTGGACAGTTGGCCCAAGTACGTATGATTAGCTCATATATCTAATCTTTTCTCTGCAGCTTTTCTGGATCACCTATCTTAGTGTTCTATGTGAAGTTTGCACTGGTAAAATTTTGCTAAATGAACTGAAGAAATTTGTCTCCCATCTTGTCAACAAGCTTCAAATCACACATCCTAAATCTACATTCTCTCAGTTTCATCATTAATTTGAACACCTCTTCTTATTTGCATTGTTTATCGAGGATGAATAGGTGTAATAATTTTGTAAGCTGCAGTTCTGGTTAAAGATTCACTAGTAAGCTACATGAGCTTCTGAACTTGGAAAGAACATAAGAAAGACACAGCCCAGGACCCTGTGAGTCTTGACCACAAACTTCCTCTTCCAGCCTAATGCTTATGTATTTGTCCATACCCTTTAGAGTAAGTCCAGAAAAACATTTATTTCAGTTCACTTTTCAAACCTGAATCTTTTGTTTCATTCCTCTCCTTAATATATTAAAATGTGTATCTATTAAATAATGCGATAAGCACCAAAGTCCTCTGATGAGTTCCTCCCAAGAGATTAGCTGCTTTCTGTTAGCAATGAGATAAAAACAACAGCTTTATTGTCACTCAGATTGCTTTCTCTATTGTCATCTCTACTCCAACCAAGAAATTTCCCCATAAATCATTCTGCCTCAGATCAAGCAGAATCTTAAGTGACACAAGGACCACTTTTAGGTTACAGAAATATTTCACTTTTTTTTTTTATAGGCAGAAGGATTTAAATTAGAAAAATGCACTCTCCATAAAAATGCAGACCTCTTTTCAGTGTTTCTCTATATGTCTTTATGAAATATAAAAACGATTTATTCACAATTGAAAAAAATAAACTTATGTTAGTACAGCTGGCGCTATAATACCTAGGAAATTATGACACAGAGACAATTCCAGGAGGACATGTTGAATTGTACCAGTGTTAACAGGTGACACAAAATAAAGTAATTACAGATGAATGTTATCTTTTGGGTCATTGTGATCTCAAAACACAAATCAGGTCACAACAATTCCATAATTTTCTTTTATGCCTTGTGTCTATTTTCTAGCTCTTGCCTATACTTGAATTTCTCAGGAATAGGCACTAATTTAGTACTGTTTTCTATTAAAATATTCTTTTTAACTATAATAGGTTGATTGGAAATGTCATAATAAGCATAACATACAGTTGTAGTGGTAAATGTGTTGGAAGCTACCCTTATACTTTTCAGAAATCATCTAGGAAATAGAGTTAAAATAAATTGATATGCAAACAGCTTTCCAGAGTTTATAAATCCAATGAAGATGAAGAGAAGAAAGTAAAACGATGCATTCTCTAATCCTTACGGAGCAGCTCCTGCACTGTGCTGAGGAGAGGCAAAGCAAGTCAACTTAGAAACCATGCGATGCTTGGTTTTCATATTGAGATCACGTGTTAGAAAAATAAGAAAACTTCTATCTCTAAGAATTTAAAGCCATGAGTCGCAGATATCTGAAATTCGATGAACTTGATTTTTACTAGAAGTTAGTGTGTATGTTTTCAAATGTAAACAACAACCACCAACAAAAGTAGAACTGGGACAATGCTCTCTTGCCACTTGGAGACACACATAAATATTTATAATGAAACAGAATTATGTGTAAAATGCTAAACAGTTTTTTAAATAATGAAAACTTCTTTGACTACTTATTTATAATTCTGCCATTACTATTTATTAGCCCTTTATGATTTTGAATGTATTTAGCATTATTTTATTATAAATTCAGCATATAAGTAAATTGTTAACATCTCTCACAATATCTTAGAAAGGTTCTCAGGATATTGAAGTTAATGATGTATCTCCTTCATATCCACCTAAATATATTTTCCTTGACTGCTTGTTTTAATCATTTGTCAGATTAACAAAGATTAAATTTGAGTGTCTACATTGTATTACTCTAAAATACACTATTTTATCATGAAATATGAAAAGCTGAAGGAAGTCTCTTTTACAATTGATGAATAATGGAAGGAAAGGCAAAACATTTTCCACAAGAATTTCTTACCATGGAAACATGGTTTTACAGAGAATTCTGGGACAATGTTTACTTATGAAAATACTGAGCTCCTACCATTTCTAAGAAACTATTCTAAAAATCATGTCTTTGATCAACCTAGCCCACAAAATGGGAAAGGTACATATCTACTGAGCAATGAATGTATTAATAAATAATATGAGAAATGCAAATATTACACATAATTCTCTTTTAGGTGACTTTATTTTTAGGACAGTATTCAAAATTGTGGAAATGTCACATAATTTAAAGGAAGACAATCGAAACCCAATTAATGCTATAACCCTTCAGATCTATTTGAGTTTTGATTGCTGTAATACTCCCAGAGTAATCAAAATATGTGAGTGTAATTAATTCATAAGGCCATTCCAGGCTTCTATAAAATGAAAGCAACATGACTGATCCACTCACATTTACAGAAAAAGATCATTTTATAGCCTCATTATGTTGCGCTAGAGCACAAGACTCTAATTTGACAAACGCATGCTTGGTTTTACACACTGTTCCCAGCATGACCCATAATGAGGCATGTGGTTGGACAGCAGGTACCCCTAACCACTTCTATTTCTCTTCTCACTCTGAATGAACGGGTTTTATTGGCAGTAGAAAAATCAATGAATGGGAAATATTATAAAGAAATAAAAGAAAGATGTTATGTGTTATAAATGTATTGTCTAATTTCTTGTTGCACTGACAACTTGTATGCACTGTAGATAAAGAGTGTGCATACAGTCTGAAAACAATGGTACTTAAAATGGGCTGGCATAGATTTCTTTTTAAGGCCCTCCTCTCCCTGTTTAACAAGAAGAAACCTTGTCTGGGCAGGAGAGAAAGGTAAGTACAAGTTACAAAAGTAGTAGTTCTTTACACGCCTTTAAGCCCTGTGTCTAAATGCTGTGTTGTGTTGACAGATCTGGGAAATTTTAGTGGCCGGACGAGAAGTGCAGTGTCTGTGAGGGAAGGCCAGGGGGTTGTTCTGCTGTGCTCGCCTCCGCCTCATTCACCAGGTACAGTAGGATCCATTCTCTCTTGTTGCTGCTCTCCTTTTACTACATGCTCCCACGTTAGAGGGTGCGTTGACTGGGGAACCTTCTAGGGGAAATGTGCATGGTTTCCTTGAAATGTGTCAGAGTTCCAGGCGTGTAATTAAAGATCAGATACTGGAAATATCCCCGGACAAGAGACTGAGCTCCTATGATAACATTGTTTTATTGCCGTTTTCACTCCTGACTGTTGCAATGATGTCTCTGCCTGCCACCAGTGAGGAATATATTGCCTGGAGCACAGGGGAAGTGATAAGCTGAGAGAGTAAAAAGCTTTCAAAATCATTGGGAGTGTCAGAGTTGAGTTCACTGAATACCAATGTGCCTCTTGTCTCAGAAGATAAGCTGGACACTGGGTTGTGGATGGTATTTATCAAACGGGAACAAAAAGTGCTAAGACATTTTTTTATGAGTTTCAAGTAAAACTATAGTGTACTTATCATTTTTTGGCTACTGGAGCTCTTGTAAAAGTCATGACGAGGTAAGTACTTGATGGAGTTTGGAGTAACATGATAGTAAATTGTGCTCAGGTTAATTATAGTCTCTTTTGCCAACTCAAAGCTAATTGTATTCATTTTGTTTGATTCCTATAACTTAAAATGAGTACCTAGTATAGCAGTGTCCAGCATCTGAAAGAGAAAGAGAAAGAGTCAATGTCTGTTTCTATATGAGAAATAATGAAGACCTTAGAGTTAACAATTGAAAAAAGAATTCAGGGTCCTGGCATCTCAATAATTTTTTTTTTTTCTGTAAATGCCACACTTGTTTTTAGGTTGTACTATTGGTCTAAAAAAGGGGTCCGATTTTGTCCCACCAAAGATAATTCTTATCTAGGACCTTGTTCAATTTTCTTAAAGAGTTTCTCACCTTTACCTGATCCTCCTCCTACTGTTTTTAATGGAAATAAAAGTACATTATATATCAAAAAAGAAAACATTTGAAACAATTTTGTTTTGAAATTATTGGTAGTAATAATTCCTGAGTTGCACCTACTTAAACCTTACATGTCATTTCAGTTACTCCATTCCTTCTGTGATCTTTACTGGAGACTTTCCAGTAAAAAGATCTAATCTCACCTGCATGTGATTTAAGATCTAGATTCTTTCAAGACAATGTGTTTTAACTCTTTCCTTTTAGATAAGACAAAATAATTTTAACAAGTTTAGGAAAATCCTATAGCATTAATATATGTCATGTCTAATGAGTTATTAGACAGATTTTTGTTTGAAAAGAAGTATTAGATGAATAATTACTCTGGATAAAAAGGAGGCTGAGGAAGAGGAGAGAAACCAATAGGCTCCTTAAAGGATAAAAGTATTCACTGGCAGATTTATAGGAATGAATAACATGAAGAGACTCATGTGGGGGAAAAGCAAGATTTTCTGAGATATAATTTATATTGCAAGGCTTTTGGAACTCGTTTTAAAAATGTTAAATGGCAGAGGATGATACAAGAAATAAAACTGCCAGCCTACATACACACATACAGATGATCTCATTTGCAAAGAAAACTATATAGAAAAGATTTCCAGTGGGAAAGAAATAGTATCATGGATTGCATACACCATAAGTGTAAGATAAAAATATGTATTAGTAATGGATTCAATAAAAATGTGATCTCAGGTTGAGACTATAAGAGAAAAGCCAGATGATTGATTGCTATCAATCACAATTATAACTTATCACAATTTCTTATGATAAGTCATAAGAAATATTAACTGATTATATAATTTAAGATTGCAGGACAGGTTGCATTCTATTAAGTACTCATTGTTATGTCAAATTATCTACTCAACCATCAGTGTTATCACAACAAAGCTTTAGGGGAGATATGCACAATCCAATATAGCTGAGCACTCAGGCCAATGTCTAACACTTATCAGATGAGTAGTTACCCTGATCAGCCAAATCCTACACACTTTTATCTTTGTTGAATATTCTTTCAAGATTCTGGCTCCAGTGGAAATGTTTATATTCCCTGAAAACTTTTAGCTTTCCTAAAGCCTTTTATGGTTATGGCTATTTATTCTCTCAAATTGTTTGTACATTGTGAGTTTGGAATGTATGTATCTCCTTTCTCCTCATTGCCCATTCTCTGTTATTCCTCTTTGCAAACCCTCAGTTTTGAATTTCAAACCATCAGACTCTACTCTTTCTTGTTGCCATCATCAACACGCTCCCTGCTCATTCCCTTTATTTCTTGAGATTTTTCTCCACCAACTCTCTCAGCTGATAGCCAGTTTATTGTGAAGGAAAGCAATTAGAAGATAACGCCCGTAGCCCTCAACCTTCTTCACCAAATCACACACTCATTAGCTTCTGTACTGACAGGCTCTAGCTTCTCCTTTTTAATATAGAGACATTATTGTGTTTCTAAGGCAGTGGTTGGCAAATTGTGGCTCTTTGGCCCCTTGAGTGTGGCTCTTCCACAAATTACCACATACTGGGTGAGTCTATTTTGAAGAAGTGGCATTGGAAGAAGTTTAAGTTTTAAAAATTTGGCTCTCAAATTAAATTTTAATCGCTGTACTGTTGATATTTGGCTCTGTTGACTAATGAGTTTGCCTACCACAGCTAGAAGGGTAATTCCTAAATGTGTGTCCTCAAATCTTTTTTTTTTTGTCCTCCTCCTCTTCTTTCTCCTTCTCATCCTCTTCCTCCTTTCCTTTCTTCTTCTTCTTTCTTCTCCTCCTTCTCCTTCATCTTCTCCTTCCCCTCTTCCTCCTCCTCCTTCTTTTTACCTAGCTAAGGAAATCGCTTCAGTAATTCTCTCTTCTGCATCTTTACCAGAGATTGTTTATTCCCTTCTGGATCATTCTCAACATCATGCAGCATTACTTCCCTTCCTCCAACTGAAAACACAACAAAGCAAAGCTCTCTTGACTCATGTCCTCTTTCAGCTATTTTTTTTCCCCTGCTCCTCTTCAAACCAAAACTCTTCAAAAGCTTGTCTGTGCATATGCTATCTAGTTCCTCTCTTCTAATTCTGTCTCTCTGTCTCTTTCTGGTATTCCTCTGATTCCTGTTCCCTGTCTCTTTCTCTCTTTTTAACAGTTTGAGGTGAAATGTGATTCACTTTATCCACATGGAAAAATAAAATGTGGCATTTTAGAGTTTTGCCAAAGGAACAAACTGAAACATGGAGTATTGAATTTCCTAGTTGAGACCACAACCATATTGAGACATAGTGCTTTAATTTTAATGCCCTACTTAATCAATTAAAAGGAAAAAATTTAAAGTGTCTTGGAGAGGTTGAGTCAAAATTTCTTGCAAAAGAGGCAGAGTAAGTATAGAAAGAATAATCCAGGACTACTCAGTGAAAGAGCATTGGGTTTGATACCTGCTGTGACACCCATTAGCCATGACCTCAACAATGGCCTTTGATTTAGTGAGGTGAGATTGTATTGTGACATGATCCAGATTTCTGTCTCATCTAAATAGTCATATAGATCATCATCTTATCACATACCTATTTAACTGATGCATTATTTTACTTTGTTTCCCACTTTTGATTTACTTCCTTCTTTCAAGTCATAATTAGTTTATCTTATTTTATCAGATATTTATTATGTGCAATGTTGAAAGTAAAAGTTTACTAATATTTTTTTTTTATCTCCGCTAGTAGATTGAAAATTTATAAATGATTTTAGAGAGGAAGGTAGAGGGAGTGAGAGATAGAAACATCAATGAGAGAGAATCAATGATTGGCTGCCTCCTGCACTCCCCTTCCTAGGGATGGAGCCCACAATTCAGGCATGTACCCTAAATGGGAACTGAACTGTGACCTCCTGGTTCATAGGTTGACACTCAGCCACTGAGCAACAGTGGCTGGGCAGATTATAAATTCTTTATGGGTACAAAACTTACCACAACTTAATTATATCCCCAATGCTTAGCACAGTTCTTGACATTTGGTAGGTATTCACTTACTGCATGTTAAAGAACTGACTGAATGTGCTGATTCTAACAGTTAAGTTTTACAGGGTTTTAGATAATTCTTCTTAGCCTCCTGGTATCAGTTGATTGCAACCAATATTTATGACAGATATTTGGGTCACCTAATATTACATTCAAATATTATAATTTCAAAGTATAACAACTACTATGATTCAGAGGTAACTATGAAATTATAATTAGTTTATACATCAGAGAATATTAAATAATATTCAGAAATCGCCCCAAAAATCTATTTTCTCATTACCTCAAATGGATGTGTACAGTGAACAATTTTCTGTGAATGAAAACAAAAGCTAGAATTGCCTTTTTTGCTAAATTTTCCTGTTTACTTCCCAAGAGATCTTATTAATTCCTGTCAGTAACATCTGTGAATGAATGCATCTTGATTGGATACTGAAGGACTTATTCATGTACCAGGAAATAAATATATTTTTCTAAAGTATTAATCCCATCTGCTCAAGATTATTTTGGTTGCTAAAAAAACCCTCTGTCAGTTTAGTGATTTTGAAATTCAAGGTTATACTGTAAAGAATATCTGTGTGGAAATGTACAAATAATGCCAATAAAACCTATAACCATATAAAGCATTATTTTATGGTTTAGAGGTTATCGCCACAGATACTTTGAAAAAAAGAAGTCAGTAACTACATTTTACTTTAAACATGTTTTGGTTCTATTTTGTGCAGAAACATAAATCTACTGGTAAGAGACACATTGGAGTTGGACTTAAAATGTACAAAATATTATGTTCTAGTTAAAATATATATGATTGTACAATATAATAATCATATTTTCACAATTAGTATGCTATGTAATTCTTGAAAAATATATGAGAGTTAGAGATTATTATGATGCCTGTTGTGTTGATGAAGAATCTATTAGAAAGATTAAATAAAACACTTAAGCTCTCATACTTTGCAAATGATGGAACCAGGGTTTCAATCTTTGATGTATTTTATACCATACTAGAGGCCTATTGCATGAAGATTCATAAGAATAAGCTTTCC